TAACCGCTAGCGATAACCATATTGTACGTCAATGTTTTGCTTTGTAAGGATTGTCGGTGTCTGATTTTGGGAACTAACACAAAGGTGGTAATTTTGTCTCTGCCGGCGGTGAGTTTATACTCGCTCGGAAAGTCGATGCGGTAGATTCATTCTCAATTCTAAATGCCCTTTCATGTTACTTCCGGTTAAGCTATGGTCGTGAAATCTACCAGTTTATTTACTTGTTTTATTTACCAGTTCATTTACCATTTTGATCCATTACGAACACAAAGTTTAGGGGACGGAAATCAGCAAGACGATTTGACATTTTATCTCCGTGCATGCGTATATAGGTTACTGTTGGAACGTAGTGATGAACCTTAAGTTAAGTTAGTACGGAAAGAATACTGGTCAACTGATCTTCTCGTGGTAAAACGTAAATCATGCAACACGTCAAAAGGAGTCTGGAAATTTTAAACCTTTGAAATAATTCAGTTTTGGATCGAGCTACAGCCAAAAGCTGCCTGTTGTGTAGCGCTGTTGGAACTGGAAGCTTATAATCGGCGCTCCGATATGCACATTATTGGTTGCAATGTACTCGGCCCAGTGCAACGAGAGCGGTGTTTCATGTTGATATAATATTGGAGGCGAGTGACCGATCCTAATTACATAATTACATACGTGTTGAGAAGTCCCTGCGCACCAAATTTGGAGGCAATCGGGACGCCCCGCAATATCACAATGGGATGTTACGCAGCGCATAACTCGAAATTTACGCAAAATTCCACCCCAAAGGCAGTGATTTTCGGAATCAGCGTATTGAGATGGCCCTGCACACCAAATTTGGGGGCAATCGAGACGCCCCGCAATATCACATTGGGATGTTACGCGGCGTATAACTCGAAAATTACGCAAAATTCCACCCCAAAGGTAGTGATTTTCGGAATCAGCGTGTCGAGAAGGCCCTGCACACCAAATTTGGGGGCAATCGAGACGCACCGCAATGTGACATTGGGATGTTACGCGGCGTATAACTCGAAAACTACGCAAAATTCCACCCCAAAGGCAGTGATTTTCGGAATCAGCGTGTCGAGAAGGCCCTGCACACTAAATTTGGGGGCAATCGAGACGCCCTGCAATATCACATCGGGATGTTACGCGGCGTATAACTCGAAAATTACGCAAAATTCCACCCCAAAGGTAGTGATTTTCGGAATCAGCGTGTCGAGAAGGCCCTGCACACCAAATTTTGGGGCAATCGAGATGCCCCGCAATATCTAACTGGCAGTTGGATATCAATCTGCTGCTAGATTGACGGACGTGCAAAACCAACGTTTTCGGTACGGCGCATATACGTTTATTGGCGCGGGGCACTTGAAACACCAGTCCTTATAGTGCGATTCACACTTCCTAGAAGTAAACACATCGCGGCGACAATGTCGTACTTCAGTTCAATGAACAAGACTCATGCATTGCCGTGAGATATCACCATGATATTGCGCGGACTGACCGTAGAAGCAGCCTCTTAAAGTAGTGTATCTCTTGCATTATTCCAATTGGCGATACCTGAAAACGACTCTGGCACCCAACAACATTTTTTACCGGGATAGTACTCTCGTGTAGTACATTGTGGCTGCGCTTATAAACATGTATGTACTGTTCCGAAAACGTTGGCCTCGCTTCGGTCTTCGCTTTTCGGAGCTTGGTCCGTTCCCTTATGTTTGCTGTTGGCACATTATCTCAGTAGAGAATGCCTTTGGATGTCAAAGCGACTGTTAGGTCTCGCCAACTGGAATTATACAAGAGGTGCACTTCTTTAAGGGGTGCTACTACAGTCCGTCCGCACATTATGGTGGCATCTCATGACAGTGCATGGGTCTTATTCATTGAACCAACGTGTTCCAGCTCAACTGACATTGTCGACACGATGTGTTTATTTCTACTTAGTGTGAATTGCATTATAAGGACTCTTGTTTCAGGTGCCCCGTACAAATAAATGTATATGTGCCGTACCGAAAGCGTTGCCTTTACTTCGATCTTCGGTTCCCGGGGCTTGGCTTCTTTCCTTGGGGTTGCTGTCGGCACATAACCTCGGCAGGGTATGTTTTTGCATATCAGAGCGGTTTTTAGGTCTAGACAATCGGAATTATACAAGGGGTGTACTACTTTAAGAGAATGCTACTACAGCATGTCCGCACACAATGACAGCATCTCACGGCAATGCATGAGCCTTATTCATCGGACCGAAGTCTTGCAGCTTAACCGACATTGTCATCACGATGTGTTTATTTCTCATAAGTGTGAATCGCATGATCCGGACTCGTGTGTGAGGTGCACTACGCTAATAGACGTACATGTGCTGTACCTAAAACGCTGGCCATGCTTCAGTCATCGGTTCCCGGGGCTCGGTCCATATTAGCCAAAGCATGTCTCTGGATGTCAGAGCGATTTCACGCCTCGCTCGTTGGAATTGTACAGGAGGTGCACTACTTTAAGAGGGTGCTACGACAGTCCCTCTGCACGACATGATTGCAGCATCTCACGGCAACGGAGTAGTCATATTAATTGAACTAAAGCGACAAGCGACAGCAGTAGCTTAAGCAACATTGTCCTCACGATGTGCTTGGTTCTAATAAGTGTGAATCGCATTATCCGGCCTCGTGTATGAAGTGCACTACGCTAGTAGACGTAAATGTACCATACCGAAAACGTTGGCTTGCCTTCGGTGTTCGGTTTTCGTCGCTTGGTCCGTTTCAAGATTGCTGGAAATGCTTCAGTTGAACCGACATTGTTGGCTCTTTCTCTGTGTGGTCTCTTTGGAAATATTAATTAAAGCTTCACGACTGGAAATAAATTAGGAGTGCAATAATAAGGTAAGAAGTACAAAGAGGTGCAATAATAAGGTGACAGTGCATGCGCCTTTCTGGTCTGTGCGCGATGGGCCGTAAAGTATTAAGTATTTGATAGAGGTGATCAAACGTATGTCATGTAGGGAGTTTAAGCGCACCAACAGATAATTTGAGACACGAATGTGAAGAACTGGGATACTTTTGTTGACTGCTCGCATGTCCGTAATTTGGTGATTTTGTTGCCCCTTTTAGTACATGTTATAAATCGTCTGCTGTCCACGTGCTCAAAATGACATTACTGGTTTGTTGCCGAAATTATAATATTGTCAGATGGTAATTTCTCGAAGATGATAGGCCATCATGCGAGCATTGCGAGTAGCAATGGTCGAAACAACGAAATGAATATTGCTAATTGCCTCCTCTCTCTCTCTCTCTCTCTCTCTCTCTCTCTCTCTCTCTCTCTCTCTCTCTCTCTCTCTCTCTCTCTCTCTCTCTCTCTCTCTCTCTCTCGCCTCTCTCTCTCTCTCTCTCTCCCTCTCTCTCTCTCTCTCTCTCTCTAGCTCTCTCTCTCTATCTCTCTCTCTCTCTCTCTCTCTCTCTCTCTCTCTCTTCTCTCTCTCTCTCTCTCTCTCTCTCTCTCTCTCTTTTTCGGTGCTAAAGACATCCTTTGGGTTGTATGATTTCAAAGTTGGGCAATTCTGCTAACGCGAGCTGATTGTGCCCGTTTCGTACTGCGCGTAAAACGCTCGCGGTGAAGATTTTTCTTCTAAAAAAAGGTGAAGTACTTGACGTCCGTCAGGTTGGCACCACATTCCCATTCAGATTCAGGCCCGTTTTCGAGATCCAGCGGACTCCTCAAATTGCCCTGAAACTTTGCACACATATGCAGTTTAATCTCCCGAACACAATGAGCACAAAATCTCGGACCGGTACTCCCTATTACTGGAGATATATCAATATCAAAGATCACAACAAAAAAGGCTAGCTCCCTCAATTCTTTGAATGCCTCATATACACCATACCTAAGCAGCATCGGCATTTGAAAAGGCTATAATTTTTTTGATACAGCGTACCGGTCCAAAATTTTACCTTTATCGTAATCAGAAGGCTAATATGTACCAACACACGGATTTCAGAAAAGATTGAAGGAGTCCGCAATTTTTTATTGTGATCTTTCATATTGTGATATTTCCGGTAATAGGGGGTACCGTTCCGATATTTTGTGCTCACTGTGCTCAGGAGATCCAACTGCATCTGTGTGCAAAGTTTCAGGCCAATTTAATGAGTCCGCTGAATTTCGAATATGAAACTGAGTTAAGCATGATAAAATGCAATACGTGCTGCATTCGCGGCCTTGACATTAAAACAGCTATAACTTTTTTGATACAGAGCACCGGTCCACGATTTTGTATTTATCGCAATCAGAAGGTCAATATCTACTAGCACGCGGAGTTTAGAAAGAATTGAAGGAGTCTTCCTTTTTTATTGTGATCTTTGACATTGATATATTTCCGGTAATAGGGCGTACCGGTCCGAGACCTTGTGCTCATTGTGTTCAGGAGGTTAAAATGCATCCGTGTGCAAAGTTTCAGCGCAATTTGAGGAGTCCGCTGAATCCCGAATATGGACCTGAATCTGAATTTGAATGTGGTGCCAACTTGACGGACGTACGTAAGTACTTGAAGAATCCCAGACATTCACGTCTACCTCTAAACAGCCTCATTTCTTCTGGCCAGCCTTGGTTTACCGGGTTGCTCTGTTTAGTATCTGTACGTGCTAAACGCCGCCACTTTTAGTACGTATCGGTAGTAAACACTGCTCCCCTCTTAGCAACAATACGTACTAAATATTCTCGAGGTTGTGTTGTCCTGATTTCCGCACCACTCATCATGATAATGTTCGATATTTCAAGCCAGTGTTCCTGATCAACAAAGCGGACTAACCAGCAATATAATGATGTGATGTTTTGGCATGAAATGTGCTTTTTTAAAAAAGATAGACTTTAAGGTTTTACTTGTGTATCAACCACGGCTTCTCGATTTTATTATTTGTTACAAGCTGTACTGCTACGATTTTAGACACCAGGTTTTATTTAGCAGCCTCTTCTATAAGCCGGGATATCAAAGCGCCAATCAACGCGCGGCATTTCAAAACATCTGCTTCAGCAGCGGCGAGCGGGTGGGTGGTGTTCCGTGGTGCTCCCGGACTGCGCCCGTTATTTATTTAACTGTGAGTAAAATGACTAGATTTTTGCCTTTTCCGAAACCAAAAACGATTTTTGTATGCTTGGAATGCTCTCTTTGTGGGGCTATGTTGCTCATTTCTGTAAGGCTTGGTGATAAACTGGCGCCGTGTTCGTCCCGTGTCCTTGTGTGTGCAGAAATGTGTATTTAATGGTTTACCATCGTTCATAAAGACGTGATCAGATATCTCTAGAGTCCTGCCTGCTATTATTCTGTGTCATACAGTGCATCAGATGCAATGATCACCATTGGCTAACAATAATAGTGCTCACTGCTTTCCCATGCACACCGCTCTTGCCCAACATGTATGTAATCCTCACCTTTGAGCCATCCTCTGCATTATGTGAGGTCAGAAAATGGTGGAAACTGAGTCACATATAATTTTTGAAGGTATTCTCTTTCATATCTCAACAGTGCCTACTTGTGTCAGGTGCCTTGTGGTGGCAGTGTGGAAATGCTTGTAGAAAATTAATGGATGTTTGAGTTAGCCAGCATTGCCATCTGCATATGAAGCCCACAAAAATTGACTGGGAATGTTCCCAAATAATAAAACTGTCAATCTCAACACTTGCTGTTTATGCATTCTAGAGACTCCCCAAATTTGTGACAAATGTTTCATTCTGGCATTTGTCACTGTCACAACATGTTATGCCTCATAGACTTGTTGTAAGGAATGAAGTTTTCTACACATGTAGGCAGGCTTCAGCCCTCCCCCCTAAATAAGCTTTTTTCAGTCCAGAGTGCCTGGATACAAGATAGCTGATGCATTAAGAACAATGGAAACAAAGAAACCTGTTCCTGATATTACAAGTAAGTGCTCAAAAATATGAATATATGCATATATATACATATACATATATATGCATATAAAAATATGAATACAGTACAATTCTCTTATCTATATTTTCCTTATGCATGTTGAACCATCCAGGCATGCCATGTAGTGTTCTGGGTAATTCTTTGTGTTTGCATCTAGATGTACTATCAGCATCAGGACAACCTGTAATTGCCAACTTCCATTGTAGCTGTTTATTTGTGTAACCTTATAAGAAAACACATAGCTGCATGATCTATCCGTTTGTTCTGTACTTCAATAACACAGATCTCCTTTCAGGGACAGAACTGGCAAGCTTACGTCTGTGCATAACAGAGCCAACATTTTTTGAGGACCCAAGGGTGATTCGTGCTGCTGAAGTAAGAATACCTTCCTGCTTTACTTGATGATTGTCATAGCTGTTCTTCTCTGCTAGATGCTTCACATGCAGGTGTTTTGCACTGTAATTTCTGTGCATTGTTTCAGTCAATAATTTTTCTTTATGCTAAAAGATAGTTGCATAACTGGAATGCCAGTGAGGACATAAGGTCTAGTCTTGCTTTCACCAGAGCATTGAAGTGTTCACAGACTGCCAACATTTTAATTGCTCTTCATGTTTCAGTCTCTAAACCTGCCAATATCTTCAAAATCTGTAGAAGAATGTTTGGCTGACAGCGAGTTTGAGACCATATTTTTGGTGAAGGAGTTTGATGGGGAGCTGTTCACACATCTGGTGGACTCTGATGGCATGTAAGTTCCTGCAGAAGAATGCCCCAGACATGCTTGTTTTCCTAACTTGATGTTCAGCAGTTGTATGTAATGCACATTGAGCATGTTGCGTGACTTCTATGATTCAGGTTCAGTGCCAGAGAGTTCACGCGATTCAGCTTAATCCTTTTCATCCAGTGACATATCCAGACTTGCGCACAGGCGTGGCCTTGCAAGGGTGATACACTGTTACAGATTGTTACTAACTGACTTGTCCCTCATTGTTACTAACTGGTTTGACACCCATAGTTATAAACTGGTGTCTGTCCACCAGCGAGTTGAAGGAGCGAGGTGTCTTGTGTTCGTCACCTCACGCCGACGTCGGCGGCGTTTTCAGCGTGCTGGGCCGGCCGGCCCTGCTGGACATAGTCGCCAGGGGCATCCCCATGCCGAACCTCTCGCGGCCGCTCTTCTCGGCCGCCATGAAGGACGTCACCATGTGCTTCACCGGCTTCAGGATGCGTCAGCAGTTGGTGTGTGGGGACCTGTCGTGTCATCCCTCGTCATCAGATGGCGGCTCAACGCAGCGATCCCTGACGCTCAAACCACTCATGATTTGCTTTGTCTCTAAATGGATGCCATGCTGTGTTGCCACTAAAAAGCAGGTTCACCAAATGGTTTAGTGTGTTTCCTTTACTAAAAAGCAATCATGTGCTCTGGATATCCATGGCGTTTCATGCTTGCTTCGAATCTCATGGTGCCTTCCATATTCGTGTTACACTTATCTATCAGTGTCTGAGCGGCATGGGCGGTTGAGTCGGAGATCGCTCGGCGGCCGTGTGCGCCGTCCGCCTAACCCGCCCGGCGGCCGACCCTGCAGAAGCGGCTTGTCGACCTGGTGCACCACCTGGGCGGCTCGGTGCGCAGAGAGGTCGGCCCCAACATCACGCACGTGGTGGCCAACGCCTGCTCCGGCGATAAGTACAGGTACGCCGACGCCTCCGTCCCCGCTAGGACCCCACCGGCGCGTTCTCAGTAGGGCGTGGCGGATGTCGTCGGCAGCCTCGTTACTGAGCGCCGGCGCCAGCAGCGGTCACTTTAGGGTCCGAAAACTAGGGCGGCCGCCGGGGATCGAACCGGAACCTCCCGCGTGACGTCCCCGTTCGCAGAGCTGCGAGCTGCCCCGACTCACGCGCTGGGCGCCGGCGAGATGTTACTCGTCGCGGTGCGCGTGTGGCCGCTGCCGGCCGTGCCGTGCCACGACTGACGCGTGTGGCCGCTGCCGGCCGTGCCGTGCCACGACTGACGCGTGTGGTCGGCGCGGCAGGTACGCGGTGACGTTCGGTCTGCCGGTGCTGCGCGACTCGTGGATCGAGGCCGTCTGGGAGCGGAGGGAGGAGCTGGGGCTGATAGCCACCCGGCCCGAGCTGGTAAGTCCGCCATCAGCCGGCTGCCGGGACGGGGCCGGTCACCACGTCACCGGTGCGGCCGCCACACACGGGGGGTGATGGGCCCGGGGTGTCCGCCCGGCGGCGGCATGGCCTGGAATTTGGTGCTGAACCGTTGTGTCGCCGATGTCAAACGTTCTGTTCGCTGGCTTCCAAATGCAGTTTGAATCCATTGGCAAGTTGAGCAGTCTGGCAGTGATGTGAAGCCCGTTATCTGATTTGCATTTCAATAGAGTATTTATGTTGATGCAGTTATGGAAATTTGACCATCAAAGGCATTGTGTTGCCTCCGGCATACAAGTGTCTGATTATCGGTGCAGAACAGGCCGAGCCCACAAGATGTTGGTGGTCAGCACCAGCTGTTCGATGTACCCCAGCATGTGCAAATATTTCACACAAGTGCAGCTATTTCAAACTGCTGTACTCTCATTTCGGACCCAACCTGCTGTCCTGCCTCACCGAGTGCCGTCTCGCTTCTTCCCGCTGACGGCCGGCATCCATCGCAGATGGGCGCGCACCGAGTGCGCCCCTTCTTCGGCGCCCGCGTGCGCCTGCTGGGCTTCTCGCCGGAGGAGCGCAACCACATGGCCGAGGTGCTGCTGGAGAACGGCGGTCAGCTGGCGGGCGGCGGCGACGACGACGAGCCCTGCACGCACCTGGTCAGTGGGCTCGAGCGGAGGGGAGGGCGCCCTCCGCCGGCGCTGGTGGAGAAATCCCGCCGAGCGGCTGGTTAGAGGACGTTGCAGCGGTGGCAACTGCGCGCTGCGTGGGCCATCGCGTTCCGCGCGTGTTATGCAAGGCTGTAAGCGGAGACTGCTGGAGGAAAATCGCCATGACGAGGCTAACGGATTTTTCGACGGAGGATTGTTAAAATCGTGTTAACTTTGTGTGTGCGTGCGTGCGTGCGTGCGTGCGTGCGTGCGTGCGTGAGGGGGGAGGCCGCGACTACCGCGCCTGTCATGCCGTGAGCTCTGTCTCTGTGTGTGTGGAGCTGCGCGGCCGGCCCTGTGGGCCGCCGTGCACGTACCGTGCCCGGCGTCGTGGACGTGCCGTGCTCGCCGCCTTGGGCGTGCCGCGGCCGGCAACGTGGACGTACCGTGCCCGCCGCCGTGGACGTGCCGCGCCCGGCGCCGCCGCCCCGGGCCATGTGGGTGACGACCGCCGGCGACGCCGCAGGTGGTGGACGACAGCACGGTGAAGGAGCGGCCGGACGCGGTGCCGTCGCGCGCCCACCTCGTCAAGGCCGAGTGGTTCTGGGCCTGCATCCAGATGGACGCCGCCGCCGACGAGGCCATGTACCGCTTCCAGACGCCGGCGGTGAGGGGACGCCGCCGCCACTGTTCAGCTGGTCTTCCGCAGCGGGGGGCGACGACTTTCGACCTTTGTAGGGGCGTGGTGGCGAGGTCGTCATCGTCTCCATGATCGGTGTTAGCGCCTTCATTCCTGTCGTAGACTTGGAGGTTTTACTAGTCTGTGAGAAGTCCCCTGTATGAGTGGTAAACGCGCAAGGCCAGCAATGATCCCGAAGTCATAAATGTCCTCCCAAAGTCAGGTGATAAGGGACCGAGGAGTGTGTGCCCATCACCCGGTAAGGGCAAATCATGAGCCCACCAAAAGCCATCTTAGCTTACCCCGTGCCGTCCCCGTCCCCTCGCCGGTCCGTCGGGACGTGCGCTGCCGACCCAGCGTCAGAGCCGACGCCGCCCGGCCGGCTCTCTGAACGCTGAGCACACTCCGCCGCCCCTGTCCCCCAGGCGCGCGAGGTGGCCAGCCCGCCGCAGGGCCTTCTGGTGCCGACGCTCACTCCCGGCTCGCGCACCAACCGGAAGCGCAAGCGGCTGCGCGAGACGCTGCACCAGCTGGCGCGCGACACGCCCAGCCCTGCCGTTACCTCGCCCACGGCCGGGTCGTCCCAGGTCAGGGTCACTGTTCGGCGCGCTGCCGGCGGCGGCAGGCAAGAGGCTCCACTCGAACGCGGCGCTTTAAGTGATAGGAATGAGGTGGATGCTGATCACTGATCGCTGATAACTCGCTACTGAATGTGTGTGAAACACTGAGTGCACAGGGTTGAGTGTGTGGTGGTATGGTGCTGTGAGAGGGCACCTACTGCGTCCATGGGCGGAATGCTGCCATCGCTGAACACGTCCGTGAAATGTAGCTCGTGGAAGGTCAACACCATAATTGCTGCCCTTTGTCTGGTGGGCATCATGTCGCCTTCATCTGTCGCCTCCTGGGCGTCTGTATCGGGTCGCCCTGCGCCGCGCCCGTTTTGCCCCTGCTCCGCGGCCGACGGTGTCGCCGCGTAACCGTGCGCCACCCGCCCGCCGACAGCCAACGGCCAAGCGGCGCTCGTCCATCACCGACATCAACCTGCTGTCGACGTCCGGCTCGTTCCTCGACGCCACGCCGGGCGGCGACGCGGACGCCTCCACGTTCGCAGGTGTGTGCCGCGCCTCCGGCGGCGGCGTGAGCGCCCGCCACGCGCCGCCGCTGCTGCTGCCGTATGGGGTGGCGGGGCGCGGCCGTGGTGCTCGAGGGCCGTCGACTGACCGGTGTCGGTGCTACGCCCCGCCTGTCGTCCTCGGAAGTGTGTTGGGGGGGGGGGGGGGGGGGGAGACAGCGGTAGGTGAGACATAAGAGGGATTGAACCCCAACAGCAATCGTATTTGAGATGAGCCTGTGGAAAGTAGTGCCACCCCCTGGCTGCTAGTAGGATAGCTTTTGTTTTGTCAGGCGTTATTAAACTGTAATAGTGGTGAAACTTTTAACTTTAACATTGGGTGGAGCTGTTTTCAAATATGCCAGCACCTGAAGTCATGACGTAGCGGTTTCATCCAAACGAAAAAATTGTGAAGTCGGCAGTGTTCATGTTGTGCATCGGCCTGTACCTCTAAGGACTGCGCCAGCGCAGACAGACCGTCCTGGTGCCCCTGCTGTCCTGTCTCTGAGGTGGTGCTCACAAATCAGCCTGTGTTTCCGACGTACTATAGAGGTAACCCGCCCGTTGCGCCGCGGTAATGGGAGGCGAGCGTGACCTCGAGCCCAGTCATCTTAGCCTGTCCTCCGCCGGCTTTCCAGGACCCCGTCCATCCCGCCTGACTCCCATATTCGAGAATCCTAACCTGTCCATTGAGCCGCCCAACTGCACGCCCAACACACCGCCTCCGCCGCCGCTGCCGCCGCCGCCACCGACCTCCGTGACAGGTGTGTCCAGGTTCGTCCCTGCTCCTCCGTGGCCCGCTGCAAAATATCTGCCGAACCGATCCCTCCCCCGCCCCCTCTGACCTCGGCCACGTTGGCTGTGTTTTAGAGCTATATGTGGCGCCACGCTGTCAGCATATGTGCGATGGGACGTGTAATATGTGATATGATGGTGATACCGTTGTTCAGGCACCACGGATCCATCGTATCGTCCACCGTGTCCGCCCTGTCGGGCGACTGCCGCAGTTTCAGTTGCACCGCCTGTCGACAGATGGCTGCTCGCCGGGCCTGGGCGCGTCGCCGGCCCTGGCGCCCGACCTGCGCTCCATGTCGCCCCGGCAGCAGGTCTTCCACGAACTGCTGCAGACCGAGACAAATTACGTCAAAGTTCTGCACACCATCGTCATGGTAGGTGGGCGGCTGGCGGCCGGACCATCCCGGGGACGTCCGAGCGCCGGCCCTGCCGCCGCCGTCCGGGACCGGAGCTGGCCACTCCTGGGCGGCGGACCGACCTGCGGCCCGGCATCAGGTGCAGCGCTGCTGGTTGGGTCGTGCGAGGTCAGGGTAGGGGCTCAAGGATCGAACGCAACGAAGGTGTGGCGCGTTAGGCGACATCATGTGGAGGCGGGGACGTGTGCCATGCAGGGCATCGACTCTACAAACGCTGCCCATTACGCCAGACGGCGGCGGGCTGGAGCCTGATAGCTTGCGACCCATTTCGTCCACGCTCATATTAGCCGGCATGTCTCGTTTTCCTGGCGGGTAGGCTCGTTTCGCGGGTTTCGGCTACCGCCGGCCTCAGCGTGCAGTCACAGCACCCGGTGTCGGTCATGGTTCCCTGGCGTGGCTCTGCACACCCACACCTCATGATTCAATGGTAGGGCCCGGCCTTTGGACCGAGTCGCGGGAAGCTCGACACGACAGACGGATACTGACCCACGGCTCGGGCGGACACGCACGGTGTGCCAGCTATGAGCCAACATTACTAGACGCACGGAAGACAGCTAGTGACGCAGCTGGTCGTGCTAGACGATGCTAAAGCAGTAACGTGCATAACGAAGCAGGCTCTGCTCCTTTCTGGAGCAGAACCTGTTACGTTCTTTACTGCCTCACAACCGCCGTCGGGTACGGTTGCAACGCAATAAAGCCGCGGCGGCGGCTGGCGCCTGCTGCGCCGGTCGCCGGCGGCCATGTCGCCGTGGCGAGTGGAGCAGCGGTGCGGCGGCTGTCAGGTGCCGTCCTGTCGGGAGGCCGGCCAGCTCGGCCCGGGCGAGACGCCGAGGCGCCGCCCGGCGACGGCGTCGAGCCTCGAGCCGGCTGCGCGCCCGCCGCCGACGCGGAGTCGGTCGGCGGCGTCTGAGCGGCGTCCGAGCGGTCCGCACCAGCACCCGGCGACGGTGACGGCAGTGGCTCAGGTGGTGCGCAGATGTGGGGTTATGGCCGTGTCGGTGCTCTGGCGGCTTTCCGGTGATTTGGGCTCCGTGCTGGGCGGGGCGAGCAGGCATTGTGGAAGGGAAGGCGAGCGAGGCGGACATGGCGGCTCGGCCACAGCTCGGGCGTCATGTCCGCGGTCGGGGGACGCACGAGTGGCGGCGCGCCTCCGGCCACGCCCCACGCCGTCTCAGCTGCTGCCGAAGCTGTCCGCGGCTGGCCGGCGGCGCGCGCCGGGGCGCCTTCCGACGCCGGGCCCGGCGTCAGTCGCTGCGTATCGGACAGACTCTGGCGCGCTGACTGGAAAGTCCGGATGCCCCGCGCCGCCGCCTCTAGATTGTTTGCCTCCCACCCATCTTGCGGTCGGTCGGCTCATCTGTCGGCTGTTTTGTTCCCAGCCTCCTCCATCACGTCAGTCGTCAGTCGGCGGCGCGCCGTGCCCGGTCCACACGGTCCGCACGGTCTGCGCCCGCCGCCCCAGAATAACTTTCAATCAACACCGCGCCGCCGGCGGAGTTTTCCCATCGTGCGATGGCAGCTAATGGCGGCCGGTTTGGTGCGAGCTGGTCGCACCCAGCCGGCGGCTGACTGCAGCCTCCATGTGGCGCCGCGCCGCCCGTCCGTCTGCCGGCTGCGGCTCGGCTCGGCTCTGGTCAGCGCGGCGTGACGGCGCCGCGCGGTATGACGTCACCCCGGTGTGACGTCACTGACCGTGACCCTGGGCTGCCAGCGGGGTCAGGGTTGGCGCTGCGCCGCACCCAATGGGCGTCGATTGCGCCATTAGTCCGGCTCGTGCGGGTCCGAACGCGTCTGATAGGTCCGTCCGTTTGGGTGGGCGGCCGCTGGGCGAGATCGCCCAGCCGGCCTCCGTGAGAGATGGTCGCCGTCGCTCGGCCGTTCGTGATACCGATGCTGCTCGTCTGTCACTGCTCTGGGAACTGGCTCGCTTCTCCCCACTTTCCGGCCGCTACATGGCCGCGCTTCCCGCAGGGGCACCAGCTTCGGTCGGTATAGGGGACTACCGCCCCCTCGGGTCCCAGCTCCGGTAACGGGTGGACAGCGCAAGCTGTTCCTCTCCGGGCGTAGCGACCCTGCCGGTACGTGGACTCCTGCTCCTTGTCCCGCCCGCTCCGTCCACATTACCCGCACTCCCGTATCCGGCCCTATCACCACCCGTCATCCTCGTTTTATCGGGGTCGCCGTGCCCCCTCGCCCACGTCCCCGTGCTTTGGATCCTGGTGGCTGAGTGGTGCGTCGTGCGGGTCAGTCACGGCGCGTCCCTACACTCCACTTTGGCCGGGATATCCGGGGGCGTGGGGGGCCGTCGGGCCCCACACGGGTCTAGCGGCTTGTCGCTCGCGCGTGGCTGGGTGCTCCGCGCGGGGCTCCGCGCGGGGCGCCTGGCCGTGCGCGGCGGCTTAAGGGGTCAAGGGACGGCGGCGCTGAACTACGGTCGGGACGGGACGGGGAGGGGTCTCCCCGGTTACACCTGGCCTTGTGGAAGGCGTCGTTCGCCCCGTATAGCACCGGGGTAGCCCTGGCGGCACCACCACCCCCTGGGTGAGTGGGCCGCCCCCATTTGGGCTCCGAGGTGGGTGGGGAGCCTCGGTGCCGAACGCTAAAACCTTACATGCATGACAACTTTAATCTAAAAAAACCGCACCCCGAAAGAGGGCGGACTAAGGCTACAGGTGGTAGTACGTCAGCGCCTACCCCTCGGATCTTGATTTTCCGAAGCGCCGGGAAGCCGCTGTCGACCCCTTCGCCCTTTCAAAGGCGAAATGGGTGTGATCGGTTTGGAAAGGTGCTCCAATGCGATGAGCTCAAGGACGGTGAGATCAAGGTGGAGTTCCTGAACGGAGAGGAGGCGAAACAGGCCAGGACTTCAGATAGGTTTGTGTACTGTGTGCGGGACGCGGAGGGGAAAAGGACGTGTCAGTGGCGATGACTGTGGAGGTTCATAGGACAAAGAACTCGCCAAAGGGTGTCATCATCTGTTTTGACCTGAGAGATGTCAGTGATGAGGAAATGGTCGACGGTCTCGCTGATTTCGGGGTAACAGATGCTCCCCGCATCAAGGTGCGCAGGGGTGCGGAGCTGGTCCCCACGTACAACATGGTGCTGAATTTTAATCGTCCTGACATACCATCTGAAGTAAGGGTAGGCTATATGAAGGTGAAGGTGCGCCTTTTTATTCCAAACCCCATGAGATGTTTTTAGTGTCAAGTGTTTGGACATGCAAGGGATTTCCGCCGCAACCAGGCAGCATGTGGTAAGTGTGCTTCTCCGGAGCACCCAATTGATCAGTGCACTGCAGTGAACCCATGGTGTGTGAACTGTGGTAAAAACCAGAAACCTCACTCTACTTTCGATCGTGCATGCCCGGCGTACGTCAGAGAGAAGGAGATCATCGCACTGAAAACCACGAGGAACATCTCATTTCGGGAAGCAAGGGATTTATATGGACTGAGCCACCCTAAGACATCATATGCCACAGCGGCCAAGGCTCCTGTCCCACCTGAGGCCCCCTTAGATCAGATGACTGGAACGCAGCTCATTAAACTGCTTGCATCTTTCGAGCTGTCGGTTGTACCGACGTCTCAGGGGCACGCCACAGCATCGGCAATATTGTCGTCCCCCGTCTCGTTGGCACCCTGTGGCCCCTCTGAGGCACAGCCCACGCCACCTCACCCGACACCAGCGGAAAGCAGTGAGTGGACCGTAGTCCGCCGGGGCCGAACCTCCCGGTCTTCGCCGGTAAGCACACGATCACCGGCTTCACAGCCGTCCTCCACAAAAGCATCACGTCCTACAACACTGAGTGAGACGATGGGACGAAAACCGGACAACCTTGAGCGCCATGAGGCGGAGAGACGGGCGCGCGAGGCAAAGCGTGCACGCCTTCAGGAGCATGAGAGGGCGAAGGCAGCCAGTCGGCTGTCGGGTGCGGGCCCCGGGCCTGCTCCCACGGGGTGGGAAGTCCCACCTCCCCGAAAGCGTGTGGAGGCTCCCCCACGCCCCTCCGACTCGCGGAGAGACCCGTCCATGGGTCCTCCGCCACCACCGCCACCTAGGACCACGGCGTCGCCGGCGCTAGCCCAGTTTAGGACGGGACGCCCGGAAAAGCGTGGTCCGCCGGGGCCGATTACGCCAACAGATGGCGGTAGTCCCCGGATCCGGCCCAGGATCCGCCCGATCTCTTTGGGTTCTGAAGACAGGACCAACAACCATGGGCCAGGCCCTAGCGCTGCTGAGTTCTTTTAAAACCTTACAGTGCTTTTAAAGCCCCGTCATTCAGTCAGTTTTACAGTGGAACTGTGGAGGTGTAAGGGCAAGCACCCAGGACTTGCAGACGATTTTAAGCGCGCACTGCCCGGTAGCCGTGTGTCTCCAGACCAAGTTGGCGCCTGATGCGGCTTTCAACCTGAATGGGTACACTACCTTCCGCACTGACATGCCAACATACACCGTTGCTTACAGTGGCGTTCTATTGGCTGTACACCAAAGCGTACCTACATGGCGTCTGGTGTTAAGAACAGGCTTGCAAGCTGTCGCAGCAACGGCGAATTTCAACCGCCGCGCTATAACTGCTCTCTCTCTACTTGCCACCCGGGGTTTCATTTCCATCTGGAGGACTACGAGAGTTAGCTTCTCAACTTCCTCCCCCTCTGCTCGTTTTAGGCGATTTTAATGCACATCATACTGTGTGTGCTTTCACGAGCACTCGCGGTAGGCAATGTGAGACTTTCGTGCGTGACGAAGGTGTAAGTGTTTTTAATACTGGAGCAAGAACGCATTTCACATTGCCATCAGGACAATCGTCAGTGCTAGACCTGAGCATTTGTAGTCCGCAGTTGGTACCACACCTGACCTGGGATGCTTCAGAGGACCCCCTTGGAAGTGACCATTTTCCGGTCTGGGTTCGGTACCGTGGCGGTACTGTTCTTGGTACTCGACTTCAGCGTTGGAATTTCAAG